AGTTTCCACTGTGATAACCGGGCAGAAACAATGCTCTGTGTTTAGTATGAAAGTTTATGAAGGCTGAACATACACACACTTGTTTTTATTTACACTGAAAATAACTCCTTGTGTAGAAGTTAGGACAGAAAAAGAACACGCTGGTTGAATTGGGAGTCAGGAGACCGAGTTTTGATCCAGGTCTCTGTAACCTTGGGTAAGCCATTAAGTTCGTTGACCTCCATCTTCTTAGCTATGAGAGAGATGGTGTACATGACGTCTCAAGACTCTGCACCATTCGATGCCACAATTCTGTGATCTTTAAATCAAAGAAAAGCAAAGACCGAATCAATGAGCTCTAACCAAAGATATCAGCTGTGCCCTTTCTAAAAACTACATACCTTAGGGGCACCTGGGTGGCTCAGTCGGTTGAGTGTCCGACTTTGGCTCAGGTCATGATCTCGTGGTCTGTGAGTTTGAGCCCCACGTCAGGCTCTGTGCTGACAGCTCAGAGCCTGGAGCCTGTTTCAGATTCTGTGTCTCCCTCTCTCTGCCCCTCCCCTGCTCATGCTCTGTTTCTCTCTCTGTGTCAAAAATAAATAATTAAAAAAAAAAAACAACTATGTACCTTACACAGCCATACTATTAGTTAATAGTGTTTAATGATTCTACCATCACAATGAAACCTCTGCCAACTTGTTTCAAACTTCTATATGCAGAATATGCTGCGGAAAATTAAATAAATTTTATTCTCAGAGTTTTTAAAAGTTTTAAAAAATTTGTAATCTTATAACTGATTTTTATAACATTATACAGAAGGTTTTTTAAGTTTATTTATTTATTTTGAGAGAGTGTGTGTGAGCAGGGGAGGGGCAGACAGAGAGGGAGAGAGAGAATCCCACGCAGGCTCTGCACCACCAGCACTGAGCCCAATGTGGGGCTCCTTCTCACAAACCCATAAGATCATGACCCGAGCTGAAATCAAGACTTGGACGCTTAACCACCTGAGCCACCCAGGTGCCCCTAACATTGCAAAGAATGTTTAAATAATCTTCCTGTTACACAGATAAGGGCTGCCTATCAGTTCCTGCCAAGCAGGAAGCATCCTGCTTCTTGAAGTCTGCAGCTCTTAGAGATATTTTGAAGCTTTTCTGGAGTTCATCTTTGGAACAGTAAGTCTCAAAAAGAGTGAAACAAACGAATGGATAAACCAACTCTGAGGGACCACCTTTTGCTACGGCTTTCAGCAATCTTGTATTCCCTTCCCCAGTCTTCAATGCTTAGGCAGATTTTGACCTACAGGTAAGTATCACCAGGATAGAGAGGGACATATCTGAAAACCAGATCAACTATCTCTTCTGTGAGCCAGTGAGTCTACAAAATCCCTGTGGAACTTCACAACCTAGAAATATCTTGTCATTAGTGGGGCACGAGGCATTATCAGACCCAAAGAGGACCTGCTGTCCTCAGGCCTGGCTAAGTCCAGGGGAGAGCAGAGGCTCAGATGACTGAGTCCCAGCCCGCGCCTCGAATGAGGGCAGCGCAGGGAAACAACACCCAAGGAGCACTCATTGTCTCCTTTAATGCTTATGCCAACTCTGGGGAAAAAGATGTTTACACCTGAGCTGTAAAGAATGTACGTAAGTGACTACAGGAAGACGGTTATGAAATGCGTGGGGAAATTCAAAACCTGCTCTCCCTGACTCTAAGGCCTCTCTGATCTGCTACCTGCATCTCAGGACACATTCAAGGAACAGACTATCGCTCTACTGGACTTCTTTGGCCTTAAAAAAACAAGGGGTTAAAAAGAGTTAAGCAAAAAACCTAGCCCTAAGAAGCATGTTAAGGGTAAAAAGTAGGAATCAATATTTCTCAAGTCTAAATTTGGATCGTAAGTAGAACCAGGTATGCTTCTCGGACATGCATTATTGTCCATACTTCAATTCCCTAGACAACAGGCTAAAGGCTATTTCCAGGTTGAAGCCAGATGTTACACAACCATGTAATTTCCAATATGTGAATACTGTGGGAGCCAATGACATTTTAAATTTTTTTTTCAACGTTTTTATTTATTTTTGGGACAGAGAGAGACAGAGCATGAACGGGGGAGGGGCAGAGAGAGAGAGGGAGACACAGAATCGGAAACAGGCTCCAAGGCTCTGAGCCATCCGCCCAGAGCCCGACGCGGGGCTCGAACTCACGGACCGCGAGATCGTGACCTGGCTGAAGTCGGACGCTCAACCGACTGCGCCACCCAGGCGCCCCAACCAATGACATTTTTACAAGAGTTTACTAGAAATGTATCCTGCTGTCTATCCAAGAGATTTGGGTTGCTTCCTAAGCTTAGAAGACGTAATACTTTGGTACTAATACATAGACTTGTGGTACTAATTTTTCAAAAACTAATAAAATAACATTTATTAAGGAAGGCTCCAGATTAACCTCCTCTCTTTCCAATTAGTTTCTTATCAGAGTTTTTAGCACCACCAGCTGGCTAAAGAGATCTACTACAAACTTGTTTGGTTCTCAACCAGCTTTGTTCATTAAGAGAGGATCATATGTTTATTTCACATTTAATTTGTGGTAAAGTAATTTACTTCAGCTTCTAAATAAAATTAGAAATGCCTTTCCTTGTCAGTCAAATAAGTAGTAATCCGCTTTGGCTTTTTTACATAAGAAGGAGATATATTGTGGTTAGTAAGTCATTAGGGAAAACTGAATCTACCCACTCACACTAATTTGATTTCTTACACCATAATCGCACCCTCAAAACACAAAGACTAAGAACTACAATCAAAATCTGAAACTAAAACAGAGAGGAAACTAAATGGTCCTGAATACTACACTAGCCTATAGTGTTTATATCAAACACTAACTTAATTGGGAATAAAAATGATTGAGGAGGTAATTTCACTTTTAAAAATTTTGAGTTTAGGGGAACCTGGGTGGTCAGTCAGTTAAGTATCCAACTTCGGCTCAGGTCATGTTCTTATGGCTCATGGGTTTGAGCCCCGTGTTGGGCTTTCTGCTGACAGCTCAGAGCCCAGAGCCTGCTTCAGATTCTATGTTTCCCTTTCTCTCTGCCCCAATCCTGCTTGTGCTCTCTCTCAAAAACAAACATTTTTTTAAAATTATTAAAAAAATAAAATAAAAACTTTTGAGTTTTCCACCAAGATTCCTGATTTGCATCTGACATGCATATATATACACCACTATCTTCCCATTTATCTTTCCTTCCTGTTTAACTGAACCACATCTAGCAATGAATAACAGTACAAAGAGAGCACAACTAAGCCCTTAGGGTTCAAATCTGATCTCCATACAATGAAATCAGTCAGTGAAAATAAATATTCCTGAAGAACCAAGTCTGGTGATTTCCCCCAAACAACCAATTTCTCCATGAAAAGTACATCCAGCAGCTTGTTGTCAGGACCAACTTCTAACCTACAGAATGAATGGCACCAATATTCTAACAAATTTGGTCACTACAGAAACTTTTCTACTACTCTACAAGGCAATGCACAAGAGAGAAAGAAAAAGAAGGTTCCGTCCAATTAATCAAATCTCACTCCGATGGTAGAGTTCCACTAAAAGCTTTCTGATAGAGTCTGAAACTACTGTAATAATTTTATGATGATAGCAGTTTAAATATCCATACAAATGTGTGGTCAAGTTCATATTTTTTAAACTTTCTGAGTTTAAATCTGCAGTTGAAAGCCCAGTAAAGAAGACAATGTGTAATAGTCTCAGATAAAACTAAGGACCAGCAGATGCTCTACCCAATTTTTTTAAGTCATCTCTACACCCAACATGGGGCTCAAACTCATGACCCTGAGATCAAGAGTCGCAGGTGCCACCGACTGAGCCAGCCAGGTGCCCCGATGCTCTACCCAATTTAACACATAATTTGAAGATGCAAACTTTGATCAATTACATTCTATTCCTTCGCTCACTTGTTTACTCATTCATTCATTCCTTCATGTATTCATTGAATACTCCATCAAACACAGTTAAATTTCTGCAAAAAGGGAGTGAGAGTGTGACTTTTCTATGGCCCTCTCCTCTCCTCTCCTTGGGTTAGAGCCTTGACATGTCATCTCCAAGGCAGAGAAGATTTCTATTTGAAGTCATGAATGGGTTACAAGAAACCTCAACAATAATATTGACTTGGGTTGAGAAATACATTTTGTAACTTCTATTTTTGTTCCTACATAGGTTCTTTAACATAATTCCTGAATGATACTAAAGGCTAAGTGTGTTCAGATATTTTATTTTAACTGCAAATTCAGCCTACTCTACCATTATCAGGCAGTGGTATTCTTAAATCAAAAGATATAAATTTGAGGTGTAAGAAAAACACATGACCATTAACAAGTACCAGCAACATGAGTGCCATCAAATAAAATGTTTTCATTATTTGTGAGTTTCCCATGTTAGTTTTCTTCTTTAAATTTTTTTAATGTTTGTTTATGTTTGAGACATACACACACACACACACACACACACACACACACACAAAGAGCATGAGCGGGGGAGGGGCAGAGAGAGAGAGAGAGGGAGACACAGAATCTGAAGCAGGCGCCAGGTTCCAAACTGTCAGCACAGAGCCTGATGCGGGGCTTGAACCCATGGGCTGTGAGATCGTGACCTGAGCTGAAGTCGGACGCTTCACCGACTGAGCCACCCAGGCACCCCATCAGTTTTCTTCTTTAACCAAAAGATAAAATAATTGAGAATTAGGTCCAGTATGGCTTGAAATTAGCAATAAAGGGTCTCAGCTTTATCTGTAGAATGGGTATGAGTAAGAGGTGATGTGTGGGATCACTGCACGGATTCAGTAAGATGACTCTAGCAGGTGTTTAATGAACAGGAGAATGAACCGATACAGGCCAAGAAAGCTGAGGGGGTCTGAGCATCAAGGACAGGGTTCCCTGGCAAGATGCTCAACACCCTGAGAAGCTGACAAGAATGTAACCTGAGAAAAAGAACAGGGGGAGCTACCTGGAGGGACTTAGGTGGTGGGGGCAGCTTTCTAGGCTGGGGGATTAGAGTATGTGTGCAGACAGCTATGGAAGTTATACACACAGGAGAGGGAATGGAGGATGGAGAAAGGTCTTAGATCAGAAAAAGGGGAGGGGGTGAGATCAGAACAAAGGAGGGGAATTAGAAAAAGAGATCAGAAAAACAGAGAGATTAGAAAAACAGAAGAGATCCTCTTCCTTACAACTAGAATTGAAAGCAAATTGAGAGGTTTGGGGGCAAAGAGGAGGCAGGAGACATAACCCGGGCAGAGGCCACGGCCCTGTCCATGAAGCAGAAAGGCAAGCTCACCTGCAAAGCAGAAGGAAAGTTTTGGTACAACGATGACAGAGAGCAAGTTGATCTGATCGTGTGTGACAATGCTGAGGAACTGGCTTAGGGTGTGATGCCAAAAGTTCTGAGGCCCCTCAGATGAGTACAGGCCGTGGGTCCAGGAGAAGATGCTGACTCTCCTGCCAACAATTTGCTATCCCTGAAACAGGAAATCAAAGACAGCTGAGACCAAGTTCTCCTGGATGCTAATAAGGGCAGGATATGACTTCGAGTGACAGCAACGCCAAACCTGAGCATGGAAAGGAAAGCATTCTGGAATTACACAGGACCAGGGCTGCGAAACTGTGTACAGAAGTGTGCCAAACACTGTGTTTGTGTACAGCAAACTGTGTACAGTTCAGTAGAGTTCAGTAGAGATGACTTAAAAAAATTGGGTAGAGCATCTGCTGGTCCTTAGTTTTATCTGAGACTATTACAAAACTGTGTACAGCAGTTTCTGCCTGAACTGAGAATGTGGTCCCATTCTGGGATTGGCCATCAGAGGACCAAAGCAGGCAGCAGGGGATCTAAGAACCGGGATCCAGGAAGGTGGACATAGAGTTCACAGACATTACTCTGGATGGGAGAGGGAGAGGGAAACATACCATGGTGTGTTTGGGGGAGGGGGTGGAAGCATTGGACAAAGAAGACAAATGGTCAGCTCGCTCCAGGTCACAGACTGGCAAGGAGCAGGTCCAACTAACTACCTAAGGCCACTTGAGAGCACGGGTTCTGCAATACCGGGCTGTGGGCAGGTCAAAACCAAAGCCCCTTCCACAGAGGCTCAGCCTGAGGCTAGACTACAAGTGAAGATAAGGAGGGGAAAGTGGTGTTAAACATTCCGGGGGCTTAGTTGCAGCCAAAAACAACTGAGGCGGAAAATGCAGATACACTGGGGGAGAAAGAATGATGGGGTCCAGCACAAGATTCCAACAGCCATGTTCAGCCACCAGTAACTAGTTCTGGGATCCTAAAATCCTAAGTTCCATAGACGAGGGTGGGGGTCGAGGTGAGTGATAAGCAGGAGAGAGGACTGGGAAAAGTAAAGGTTATCTGAATAGACATTTTTCCAAAGAAGACATACAGATGGCCAACAGACACATAAAAGGATGCTCAACGTGACTCATCAACAGGGAAATGCAAATCAAAACCACACCTGTCAGGATGGTAAAATCAAAAACACAAGAAATAAGTGTCGGTGAGGATGTGGAGAAAAAAGAACCCTTGTACACTGTCAGTGGAAACACAAATTGGTGCAGCCACTGTAGAAAACAGTATGGAGTTTCCTTGAAAGTTAAAAACAGAATTACCATATGACCCAGTAATTCCACCACTGGGTATTTTCTCCACAAAAACAAAAACACTAATTCCAGAAGATATATGCGCCCCTATTTTACTGAAGCACTATGAACAATAGCCAAGATATGGAAGCAACCCAACTTCATAGATGAAAGAAAATGGGGTGTAAAACAGCAAAATACCTAGAAATAAACCTAACTAAAGAGGTAAATGATCTGTACTCTGAAAACTATCAAACTCTTATGGAAGAAACTGAGGACACAAAGAAATGGAAAAGCATTCCATGCTCATGGAAGAACACGCGTTGTTAAAATGTCTATACTACCCAGTGCATTATCTACACGTTTAATGCAAATCCCCATCAAAATACCACCACCATTTTTCACAGGACTAGAACAAACAATCCTAAAACTTGTATGGACCCAGAGAAGGCGCCGAATAGCCAAAGCAATCCTGAAAAAGAAAAAGAAAACCAGAGGCATCACAATTCTGGATTTCAAGCTACATGAACAGACACATGAAAAGAGGCTCAACATCACTCAGCATCAGGGAAACACAAATCAAAACCATAGTGAGATACTACCTCACACCTGTCAGAATTAACAACACAAGAAACAACACGTGTTGGTGAGGATGCAGAGAAAGGGGCACCCTACTGCACTGTCGGCAGGAATGCAAACTGTGCAATTGCTCTGGAGAACAGGATGGAGTTTCCTCAAAAGACGAAAAATAGAACTACCCTCTGACCCAGCAATTGCACCGTTAGGTATTTATACAAAGGATACAATAATACAGATTCGAATACATGCACCCCAAATTTTATAGCATCATTATCTACAATAGCCAAACTATGGAGGGAACCCACATGTCCATCGAATGATGAATGGATAAAGATGTGGTCGATATACTTGATGGAATATTAGCCATCAAAAAGAATGAAATCTTGCCATTTGCAATGATGTGGATGGAGCTAGAGTGTATTATGCTAAGTAAGTCATTCAGAGAATGACAAATACCATATGATTTCACTCATGTAGAATTTAAGAAACACAACAGATGAACATATGGGAGGGGGACAAAAAAGGGGTGGGGGAACAAACCATAACACAGTCTTAGCGATAGAAAACAAAATGAGGGTTGATGGACAGAGGTAGGATGGGAAACGGGCTGGATGGGTGATGGGTACTAAGGAGAGCACTTATTATGATGAGCACTGGGTGTTGTATGTAAGTGATGAACCACAGAATTCTACTCCTGAAACCAATACTGCACTGTATGTTAACTAAAATTTAAATTAAAAAAAAAAAAGATGCAGTATACACGTACAATGGAACATTACTCAGCCCTAAAAAAAGAATGAGATCTTGCCATTGCAACAACATGGATGGATCTAGACAGTATAATGCTAAGTCAGTCAGAGAGACAAATACCATATGATTTCACTCAACATGCGACTTCAGAAACAAAGAAAAAAAGAGACAAGTAGACTCTCTCTCTCTCTCTTTTTTTTTTAAGATAGAGTGTGATTGGGGTAGAGGGGCAGAGGGACAGACAGAATCTCAAGCGGGCTCCACGCTCAGTGCAGAGCCTGACGTGGGGCTGTATCTCTCCATCCTAGTATCGTGACCTGAGCCAAAATCAAGAGTTGGATACTCAAACACAAAGAACAAACTAGTGGCTACCACAGGGGAGGCGAGTGGGGAGATGGGTGAAATAGACAAAGGGGATTAAGAGTATGTTTTCATGATGAGCACCTAGTAACGTATAGAATTGCTGAATCAGATTGTATACCTGAAACTAATCTAACACTGTATGTTAATTACACTTCAATTTTTTATTTATTTATTTTTATTTATTATTATTTTTTTTTACCTTTATTTATTTTTGAGACAGAGAGAGACAGAGAACGAACGGGGGAGGGGCAGAGAGAGAGGGAGACACGGAATCCGAAGCAGGCTCCAGGCTCCGAGCCATCAGCCCAGAGCCCGACGCGGGGCTCGAACTCACGGACCGCGAGATCGTGACCTGAGCTGAAGTCGGACGCTCAACCGACTGAGCCACCCAGGTGCCCCACACTTCAATTTTTTTTTTTTAATTTTTTTTTTCAACGTTTATTTATTTTTGGGACAGAGAGAGACAGAGCATGAATGGGGGAGGGGCAGAGAGAGAGGGAGACACAGAATCGGAAGCTGGCTCCAGGCTCTGAGCCATCAGCCCAGAGCCCGACGCGGGGCTCGAACCCACGGACCGCGAGATCGTGACCTGGCTGAAGTCGGACGCTTAACCGACTGCGCCACCCAGGCGCCCCACTTCAATATTTTAAAAAGGTAAAGTTTTATCCGTATTAGGGCCTACCCTGCCTCTCCCGGGGTCAACTTAGGCACTGGGACAGGCAGAGGGGAGGGAAAGAACAGGAACTAAGAGGCGCCATGCGAAGTCCATGGTGCATTTAATTACTACTTCACCCTGATGGTCTCTAGCAGCAGATTGCAGCCAAGCAGATAATGTGGTCAAGCCAGAAATGATAAAACACAATGCTGAACTCACAGCTACTGATGAGAAAGGTCTTCCGAGTGAACCAGAGCAGAATCCTACCTTACCAAGAGACAATCATGGATTTGGATTAGCACCCCCACCCCAGTTAAAATGATAAAAACCCATATGTCATTAAAAGAAATTTTTTTTTTGCTTTCACAGCTTATTTGGCAAAACACTATTATGATGTAATTCCCAAGGCAAAATGCGTAACACATGGGTTCCTATCAAAGCAACCCGAACTGGGATGAATGCTCCGGTTTCATGTGATAAAACACTACATCAGCTTCCTTTTGTATATTTTGTCAAGGATTCCTTTTGTTTATAGTGCAGATAACCAAATGAAGTCTCAAGTATAACAATCCAAAGCAAACCAATTCATATGAACAGAGAAAAGCTATTTCATCATGCAACTGATTTAACAAGAGCATTTCTGGGCAGAGCAGGTGTGCCTTGCTTCCTCATGTTTATGCTCAGTATTGTGGGGATAAAAGGCATGGTTCCTGTCCTCAGGGCGATTATACCATTAAAAGAAGAGAGAAGGGAATATAACAGGGAGTAACAGCACAAGCTTAGTAGTTACCCTGCCTGAGTTTGAGTCTCGGATCCATTACTCACCAGCCGGTGACTTTGAGCAAGTCTGTGACCTCTCCAAACTTTTCCCTCCGTAAAATGAGGACAGATAGGGCCTAACCCATGAGGATCCTACAGGGATTCGTTCAACACAGTGCCTGGTACACAGTAAACACTCAGTAAGTGTTAGTGGCTAGTATTATCGTGCTTACTATCATTAGGTACCTTAATGCTACAGGAGTTCTAAGGAAGGTAAAGAAACTTTCTGGGCTGGAGTGATCAGGGAGGCTACATAGAAGACAGAGTTCAGCTAAGCTCTAAGGAATGGATGCCATTCAGGCATGTGGATGAGGGAGTCAGAGCAGAGAGGGCAGTGAACCTGGCAACAGCAAAAATGCCAGAAGAGAAATGATAAAATCAGTACATGGCAGGCAGATCAGAATGGTGGAGAATTTCTGATTTGAGAAAACAATGGGAGACACGCTAAGGCACACAAGGCCTCTGTGTGTGTGTGTGTGTGTGTGTGTGTGTGCGTGCGTGTAGGGGCTTTGCATGACAGGCCAAGGACTCTAGGGGTTAGCTGGCAGGCAATGAAAAACTACTGAATTCAAAAAGTAAAATTAAAAAATAATGCTAAAAAAAGAAAAAGTAACGCTAATCTTCCTCATGCAAAATGTAACTGGAAGGGTAAACCAGTGATTTTCCAACTTGAACGTGCGTGTCTATCACTCAGGGATCACGTTAAAGTAAACA